AAGCTTCGTCCCCAGATACCATCTGTTCATCATTCATCTCATTGCGTGAGACATTAATTTGCTTATCAGATGGCCGCGAAGCTATAGCCTTTTGATGACAGATACTTGCGATAACAGGCTACTTAGTTCAACTCTAACTTTGCTTAAATAATTTATTTAACCACATTTAAATTAATATGTATTTATGAAGATAAATACATAATCTTTATTTTAAGTTTTTAATAAAGGATGCATTTTAATGAACTTAAATTCCTAGAACAAATCGGGTTTCATTTTATTTAAAGGTCATTTCTGTTGAAAAAATATTGTGAAATTTATATAATTATAAATATATTTTATATTATACAATTTAACTTCTAGTTTTGACATAGTGCTGTATGCATATATCAAGATATATATAGAGATCTAATTCTCATTCTCATTCTCATTCTCATTCTCATTCTCATTCTCATTCTCATTCTCATTCTCATTTCTCGATAGAGATTATGAGCCGAGTACCATGGAAGAAGCCGAAGAACAAATTGTGTAATAATCGAATGTTTGGTCGCCGTCTGATAGTCTTGATTCCTTCGCTTTGTGCTTTTATCTTATTCGTGTCAGCGATCGCGTACTATTCTACCAACATTGAATCTTGTGTACTTTATATCAATGGGACTCGAAGTGCTACGCTCGGGGAAAAAACTAAATGCACTTCAATGCAACTTAAGTATGAGAACCAACCTGGTCACGAAGTACGACTCGAAAAAAGGTTGCCGCAATTCATTGGCACGCTGTTGGTCGTCGTTTTTTTTGTGGTGAGTTTTATATTTTCTTTTCTTCAAACTTTTAATTTTATCGATACACTATCAATAGGTTGACAATCTATAGGTTGATTTAAGTCATGGCATGCCTAACTCACAGATCAAACCCTGGAACAACCTCTGGGCTGATCTAAGTCAGGGYACGCCTAACTCACAGATCAAAACCTGAAACAACCTCTGGGCTGATCTACGTCAGGGCACGCCTAACTCACAGATCTAACCCTGAAACAATCTCTGGGCTGATCTAAGTCAGGGCATGGCTAACTCACAGATCAAACCCTGAAACAACCTCTGGGCTGATCTAAGTCATGGCATGGTTAACTCACAGATTAAACCTTGAAACAACCTCTGGGCTGATCGAAGTCAGGGCACGCCCACAAATAACCCCAGAGTTGATCTAGAGCAGGTTTCATTCGACTGTGAGATGCAGATTGCTGCCATATACGTGTGTTGTAGAAACATAAATGTTTCTGTAATTTTGTTTGAATGTGTGTTTGTTTTTCTCGCGCAGTGTGATTGTTGTGGCAGTGCCTTGGCCTTGGCTTGACCGTGTCCGCGCCGTACGTTTCGGATATTGATTGGATGGAGAGTAAATTCTCACACAGTGTGATTAATCTGGCGTATGCCTTGCTGTGACACGACCGCGTCATTAGGTTTCGCTGAGGGACTAAACCAGAGAACCCAGCATCGGAATCGAACCCTTGACTAAGCATTTTTTTATCAGCTTATGGCAATCGAACTCGAGATACCAGAGGCGAGTGTACTATCGCTACTTTACTCTTGATTCCCTTCGTCTGGTGTTGTCTCCTGTTAATTATATAAAGCGTCTCAAAAGATAACTTTCGATTTCTTACTTCCTGTGCGAAATTCTTGGCTAATTTTACACGGACTGATCCCACATGGAAAGGACTGAGTCCGTGGGACCCTAGTTCTCAGTGATACAAGAGACATACTACTCTTCCCAGTAGACCGAGGTTGTTGTGATTTTTTAATCGCCTTCGTAGCCTGTTATGTTATCCGCAAGTACATTTCGAATCGACCACGTGATGCCAATGCTGTACCACGAGGACAAGTTTTTTATACCACGTGATTAAAACTTGACTGAATTTTGATCACGTGGTGTAAAAAATGTCCACGTGGTACAACATTGGCATCACGTGTTCGATTTGAAATGTACTTCTGGATAACGTAACAGACGCTACGAAGGCGATTAAAAAATCACAACTACCTCGGTCTACTGTGAAGAGTAGTATCGGGTTTGCTGGTCATAGCAAGGGGTTAATCATCTGCAGTCTAGGGACCATTCATGTCTGGAAGTATGGTCTTCGGTTACATTTATCATGTAAAAAATAAAGTGATAATATCATGGAACATTTTTTTTTTCCTTTTTCTCGTCAGATGATTTTCATACTCTTTGTCCCTTGGAAACTCGGTAACTACATCACCTTTAAGCGTCGCATTAACTGCTGTCTCCTGCCAGTTAGCCTCAAAGACGCGATCAAYCGATACATGACTGGATACATCAGCGACGAGGATCACTTCCAAAAAGTTGTGCAGTCTGGTCAAGCAAGTTTAGAATCGATCATCCAGAAATTGAAAAAAACCATACCGGAAGTGACGTTTGATGTATTGAAGACTGGAAGTCTTGTGGTAAGTCAATTATATGCTAGCTTGTAGAATAAATATTAAGAATTAGTTTAAAACATATTTTTGCTATTGTAAGAATATAAAAAAATTAATCAGTTGGTGCAAATAACAAACGAGTTGCTGCAAATAACAAACGAGTTGCTGCAAATAACAAACGAGTTGCTGCAAATAACAAACGAGTTGCTGCAAATAACAAACGAGTTGCTTCAAATAACAAACGAGTTGCTGCAAATAACAAACGAGTTGTTGCAAATAACAAACGAGTTAATGTGGCAAGCTAGACGTGTTATTATACGTTACACGATAAGTAGATTTGCCGAAAATATTGAGACTGAGTCACTAAAAGAGGCTTAGTTTGGGGCTGATTTTTTAAGAGACGAAATAGACGCCATCATGGGAATATTTCCCCTTAGATTCATAGTCCGGAATATTGCTTTGTTGTTGACAGGAACGACTTGGAAAGCCAACCATTCTGAAAACCTGCGACACCGAACATCTTCCAATAAAATCATTACTAAGTACTGACTTTGATGTGATGTTAACACCCCAAACAGTCCTGGCAGCAGCGACTGAAGATCCTGAGACAAGTCAAGCTCAAACGCTCTTCGACGTCGTTACCTTGGAAAACATCACACCTGGGTTCGTGTGGTTGAAGCTGAACCAAAATTGCAAGGAATCAAGTGACAAGTTTTGGAGGGATCTTTGTGCTGAGTATACTTTTCCTGGTGGTTCAAAAGGATTATATCTTTCCTCTTTCGAGGTAGGCAATTTCCTATATCTCTACGTTAAAACAACAAGGTCGTCTGTTACCGTGGCGGTAGCGCCAGAACATGTGTTCAAGTGGTATTACCCACGGAAAGCTCTATCACCAGCGACACGAGTGAAACAACGTCTGCGCATGCTCTACGTCCGTATGCAAATTAGTCGAAACATCTGTGCATGCTCTTCCCGTACTCCGTATACGTCTCGTACTCGGTAGACTCGCAGCTCGTTATAAATATTCCCGATACTCAATTCGCCTTTGGCGATTAATTGTTAAATAATATTTATTGATTATGCCTTTTACAAATTGATCCACTATTTAGGTACGAAACGTATTCGTTAAAGGGATGAAACGAATCAAGCGGAAAGTGACAGGATATTGTGATTGCTATAAAAAGATCGCAGCAAAAGGCATCGCCTTTCATGTCAAAGCTCAGGGCCCGGCCGTTACTGTAAAAGTAGAGCGTAGACAGGGTATTTACGTGCCACAAAAGTYTATGAGCCTTCGTCCAACTTTATTCTATGGTGATTTTATCTTCGCGATAAAATGCATTGGATGGCCACAGGAAGCCAGTGAATGGCCTTTACGCCAGCGACTATGGCCGCCACAAGCGGTGGTTGACGAAATCATGACGTATGGATATCACGTGGTTCCAAAGCCCACAAACCCGACCCTAGACACTGTGAAAAGGGAGAAAAAGAAGAAAAAGAAGAAAAAAAACCAGCAGAATGAGAATCAACCCCTTCTAGAATATGAATGGAGGTTGTCTTACTCTATGGCCGAGCTTTCATTGGCAAAGCACATTCCTCCTGTTGCGCGCGCATGCTTTTTGGCGTTAAAGGCGACAATAAAACAACATCAGACACCTGATGCTGGCGGACTAAGCTCGTATCACCTCAAGACTACTCTATTTTGGGCTTTAGAGTTAAACCCCCCTGACTTCTGGTGCGAGGAACAAATTGAGGAATGCTTCATGAAGCTTGTTGATACCCTGTTGGACTACGTGAAAAATAAACACTGTAGTCACTATTTTATGAAGCATCTAAACCTGATGTCGCTTGATGAAAGTCAGCTTGAAGAGACCGAGAATCTGCTGTCCGAGATCAAGGAAAACCCTGGGAGTTACGTCTCAAGTGAGGACCTCCAATGTCGGGGGAACCTGGCTGCCTGCTATGAGTGCCTGTGTTTTGGACATGGTGAAAATGTCTACATAGATGTATACTAGACTGCTTGGGACGATCCAGTAATTTTAAGAGGGAGTGGGGTGAGGGGATTAGGATACCTTATGCATTTACCACAGGAAACCCATAATAGGCGAGAAAATGGTGGAAATGACAGATAAAACTAAATTTGAAAGCTTCAAGTAAATATAACTAGTAAAA